TCTCATGCTCTCAGTATCAACCCATGGTCCAGCACACTCGCTTGACCTGGGGGAAGGTGTCCTTCTTAACCTCCCTGCCATCTTTCCCTCTGGAGGAAATCAACACCATGCCAAGAAGCCCCAGGCTCTGATGCACAGTGCTGGGCCCAGCTTGGAAATCGGGTCCTCTGAAAATGTGCTGTGACCCAGCACTGCCTCCCAGGGCAGGGGCAGTTTTCCAAAGCACAAAATTCTGGTGAAGTTGGGTGGGATGATGCCACTGTAACCACAAAGGAATCTGCCACAGGAAGTGTCCCAGCTGTAGCCTATTAGCATCAGAACAAATTACACAAAGCAAATTGTTAGCAGACATGTTTCCATAATCTTTAACTGGTGGTGATAAATAAGAGTGGTCCTCTTTCAAGTAAATGCTAGATTTCCAAAAATCCAGCTTCCAATCATCTGTGAAGGGCTTGTCTAGGATGAGGAGAACCCTTGGTGGGAATGACAGACACTCTGAACTCCAGGAGCTGAGGGTCCAGCATTCTCTGTGAGCAGCAGGGCTGGGAGAGGGCTGGTGGAAGCTGTTTTAACATGGCAAAATGAAGACAGGAATGTTTGCGTGTCTGGATGTCTCACTGTTTGTTGAATTCCTCTCCTGGGTTCTCAGTGTGGTCCTCTCATGCCACAAGGGGTATAAGGACACAGCAAGGCAACAGACGAGCCATGCAAGTGCGCAGCTCTTAAAATGTGTGATGACCCAAAAAGTTGATCAGACTCCTGGATGGGTTTGCACCCCCTCCTTAACAAGATGCTGCCATTTAAAAAAAAACAAAAACAAAAACGCTGGACATGGTATCTCACAGCCATAATCCTAACTACTCAGGAGCAGAGATCGGGCAGATCCTGGTTCAAGGTCAGCCTAGGCTAAAAATTAGCGAGACACCCTCCCCCCATCTCAATTGATAAGCCAGGTATTATGGTGTGAGCCTGTGGTGCCAACTATGTGTGGGGCATAGGTAGGAGGATCTTGGTCTGAGGCCAGTCCCCCATTGCTGGGGTGTGTGTGTGTGTGTGTGTGTGTGTGTGTGTGTGGTGTGTATGTGTGTGTGTGGTGTGTGTGTGTGTGTGTGTGGTGTGTGTATGTGTATATGTGTGTGTGGTGTGTATGTGTGTGTGTGGTGTGTGTGTGTATGTGTGTATATGTGTGTGTGGTGTGTATGTGTATGTGTGGTGTGTCTATGTGTGTCTATGTGTGTGCATGTGTGTGTTGTGTGTATATGTGTGTGTTGTGTGTATATGTGTGTGGTGTGTGTGGTTTGTGTGTGGTGTGTGTGTGGTGTGTGTGTGGTGTGTGTATGTGTGTGTGGTGTGTATATGTATGTGTGTGGTGTGTGTTAGTGTGTATGTTTATGTGTTTATGTGTGTGTTGTGTATGTGTGTGTTGTGTATGTGTGTGGTGTGTGTATATGTGTGTGTGTATGTGTGTGTGTGGTGTGTGTGTATGTGTGTGTGTGGTGTGTGTAGGTATGTGGTGTGTATGTGTGTTATGTGTGTCAGTGTATGTGTGTGCATGTGTGTGTTGTGTGTGTGTGTGACTCTATCTGAAAAATAAGTAAAGCAAAACAGGCCTGGGACTGGGGCATCTGCCTAGCAAGCGTGAGGCCCTGAGTTCAAATCCTAGCACTACCAAAAAAATGTAAAAGTTATCTATAGTTTTGCAGTCTGAGGTTCAGATAAAAATGTGAGCTCCATCCCACTGGGGAAGTTGAAAAGGTGACTTTTGTGCCCACGTTTCTGCTGTAGCTCTAGAAAAAACAGACGACTTCCTTCTCTCAAGACCTTCTGACAATGACAAAATTCAAGTCCCCTGGTCACCTCTGGGCATTTCCAATTTTCTTCAGCAATTTGACAAAGCTGTCCTAAAACAGTCTCAAAAAAATAATTGAAAAATAATTTTAATTAAAAATAACAAATATTCCATACAGCACATAAATACAAAAATATGTTATTGCCGCATCAGGGGTGGACACTGTTAAAATAGCTGCTCTTTCACTGTTTTCCTGGGACATTGAGGTTTTGTCTCATTGGTTTCCTTCTCAAGCAAACCAGCCTCAGCCCAGTCCTCCTTCCTCCATTCCTTAGTATCACGCATGGTCTCTGAGGAGTTCTTCATTCCTTTCTGCTATAAGCAAACAACCTTCACAGCTTTGTTGAAGAGAAATAATGGGAGCCCAACATCCTCTCCTGTAGGTAGAATGGAGGCCCTCAGACAACTGTTTCCTGCTTGGGGATCCCCAGAGAGGCCTCTCCTTGGTCACCTAGAACACCAGGTTTGGCATGTCCAGTCAGCTACCTCAGGGGGTAGGCCCAGAACCCCAGAACCATCCTGGTCACTTGGCTGCCTCTAGAGTAACCTTGCTGGCATAAGATAGGAACACCTAGATGGGACTAGAGTGCACTCTACCTTCTTTCAGTTACAAACTCGGAGACGTTTTAAACCAAGCAAATGCAATAGTTTCGGGACACACACACGCACACACAGACACAAAACCCACATCTTTTACCTAAAGTCTTCACAAAGGGAATACCGTGCTTCATAAAATATTTAAAATGCCTTAGGCAATAGAATTATCTCTTGATTTTTTTTCCCAAGTGTTTAACAGACAAGTGTAATTGGAAATGTTTGGAACATGAACACACACACACTTTAATTTGGAATTATGCAAAACTCTATCATTATTCACTACAACCTGAAGCAAAACTACCTCAATGGAATAACAAGTACCCTATCTGTCAAGTGTGACAGAGTAGTTCTCATTTGGCCCAGACGACCCCCATGGCCTAACCCTTTAAGGTCGGCTTCAAGGAAATGACCTGGCATGATTTACATTTGAGAAACCGTTTAGTTGCCTGGTTTGACAAGATTTTTGAGAGAGATGAAAATTAATCCTAATTGCAGTATTGCTACAATAATTTGGTCAGCTAATTGCCTTTCAGCATAAAAACAGGCAAGGCGAATTTGTTCCCGAAGTGATTCTGTGATATGGCAGCATTCACTTTAGGAGTACCAAGAGTTTTAAAAAGTCAACCCTTAGTTATCACTGCTTCAGCAACCTGGCTTGTGGAAACTTCATATGAAAGCATGCAGCACCTGGCTGGGAACGACTGCACGGGCTTGAAATGGGAACACATCTCTTCCTTGAAAATGACTGGAGGCATCTCTTTGACTTTGTTTGGGGCTGATTTTAATTTGGGGGTACCAGTGTTCATGTGTTTGTAGCCAGGGAGGTGCTGGGGGGTGGGTAGGATATCTTGAAAACTTAATGTTGCAAGTCACGAAAGGAGGCATGTGTGTTGAGGGACAATGCGCCACGTGTGCGAGGACTGAACCAAAAAGAGTGAAGACCCTGGGCAGATGGGGAGAGGGGCTTCTGGATCTCACTGTTTTCACACTGACTGCTCTGAATACATAAACTGTCCATGGCTCCTTGAGGGGAATGATCTGACTTCAGAGTAGCAGTGAGCACTTAGCAGTAACGAACTTTTGAGGAACAGAATCTGTTCATCGCTTTAAAATCTTAGACTATTTCAAGACCTGGCATAAGGTCATTTTGTCATGTGCTGAAACCAACAGACATGAAGCATTTCTACCACCTGATCAAGCTCTACTCAGTGGGTAGGTTTGGGTCACTTTCCTCCCTCTCTGCCACACACGTAGTGTGGTTACCCTCTGTGTGTCTAACAAAGATTTTGCTATGCTGTGGTTTTTTGAATGTTGATCATCAAAGTGGCCTGATAGCGTGGTGTGGAATGTTTCTTAGGTTCTTCTCCTATATTCAAACTGATTTAGAGGGTCAACATACAGACTTACCCTGGGCTGCCCTCAAGGATACGCAGGCCATGTTCAGCACAAGGACAGCTGGTTGAGAGGTGAGGGGGCTCAGATCCCACCCAGCTCCACTTGCCAGCTGAAGCCCTGCTCAAGTTGCATCCTTTTCCTAATTCCTATTTGGGCCAAGGCTGACCCTGCGTTATCCTTGGTCCTCATCATCCCAGGATGGCAAGGTCTTATATTCGTCTGTCATTTTCAATATTGAAAATGTTCCCTTATGGGAGAGAATATGCCTTTGCAAAAACAAGAAAAAGGAGGAAAAAAGAAAGGGAATGAGAGAAAGGAGAAAGATACAAAGAATAGCAGAGAAGAGGTTGCCTTTCTGCCTAGTAAACTGTAGATTCATCGTCCGTCCCTGGACACAGCTGCAAAGTGGTAGAAAATCAATTTTTTTCTATTACTCCACAGCGAGGAAGGAGAGCCTATTTGTAAATTAAATTAAACCCAGTAATAGCATGTCTGTGAATTTGTTGAGGACTAGAAAAATTAGCCACAGACACAACTACAGAATCTAGCAGTGTAACTAGAAATCAGCATTTCCCCATTTCAATGCTTAGTTGAGACATTTTTCTTTTCCTTTTCTCAAGAAACACCCATGGCTAAAAGTCACTAAAATTCTCCAGGATGCCAGCACATCAACGCCTCAGTAAGGACCCTGGAGGGAAAGGACTCCCAAACCCCATCTGGGCCATGCATGCTTCCAAATTCTTGCCTTTGCTGCTGTGCATCCATCAATCAGTCAGTAGGTTGGATGTAAACTATAACCATGTAGATGACAGCTTCTTCCCAAGTTACAATCTGTGGTGTTGACTATGGGATAACCCTCCTGTTTCTGAGTAGGCTAGAGCTTGTTCATAGAAACCCTAACCCAGCCTCTGAGCTCTGGTTAAGCTTGCAGTGGGTACTGAAGTTTCATTAGCGGCCTGCCCTCTAGTGGAGGAACGCAGTACTTCAGATAAGTAGGAATAGAAAGGATCCTCTTCCCTGTTCTCTTTCAGAGAGCAAAAAAATTCAAGTTTTCCAGCTAGTGCAAGGCGAGGCAATTAGCTTCAGAAGACAGCTTCCAGAGTAAACCCGCCAGACTCATGCAGGTAGGTCCCTAGGTCAGAGTGGACCGGATGGTGCTGTTAAGGGCGTTTACACCTCCAGGCTTTCCTTAGGCAAGAGCATTCAGTACCCCCGCCTCATTACACGAATATCACCCACTCCCGGAGCAATCAACATAACAAGAACGTTACAAATAATAGACTTTTTGTAATTTTTTTGAAAATCACTTTAACACAGACAAGCCTTTCAAAAAGGGCCATGTTGAATTTTTTTTTGTTTTTGTTTTTTGGTGATACCCAAGGCCTCTCCCTTGCCAGTGCTCTACCACTTGAGCTATACCTCCAGCCCCATGTTGAATTTTTTTAAAAAGCAAAAATGCATGTCTTTATATATATATATATAAAAAAAGGCCAAGTCTTTGTGACTGTTCAAGAGGAGAGTCTACTCATGATGGTGGCTGGCTGCCACTCCCTCATGTTAGGTTTTTGTTCCAGCTTTTAAAGGACTTCAGAACTTGGCATGCTTCAGTTTGTCAATGTGGTAGCAGAGTTTCAGTGCAGGTCCCAGCTTCAGGCCGAGGTACTTCATGACCATGTCACTCCTCAGCAACAGCAGAGCATTACCATCAATCTCCTGGAGAGACAGAACCAGAAAAAAAGAAACCCAGAAAATGGCCAGAGTAATCAAGTGGTGTCTGAGGTTAAGGTACTAATATAGTAATAGCTTGTGGACTTATTTGGAGAGCATATTCTCTCGGTGCCAGGGCAAACTCTACTTTCCAAAAAATTAAAGCAAACAGAGACTATGTGCTCCTCTTCTCATCATCTCCCTGGAGTCATGTGATACACTGGATCTTTCAATTCCTGATTGAAGGACTCAGACATAACCTCACCTATATAACCAATATCACGTGTATGGTAATTGTCATCTAACCAGAGACTAATGAAGTCAAAAGTGAAATTCATTAGACCCTGAAGCTAGAGCTGGCCTTGCCTTGCCATTCCATTCCATTCCAGATGGCATGGGGCTTTGACTGTTCATTAGTCTCTTTTTCTTCTCTTGGAGGCCCACCTACCTTTACCAATCACAGAACTTCTTATTACACTCTATGAGGATTTTCAGATGATTTTTAGTCCTGCTAATACTAAGTAATGTACCTGCTTTATTTCAGGACTTAGCACAAAGAACTACTAAGGGAATGAGCCAATTCTTTGAGGCTCTGGTATAGCTCCCTTTTGTTTCCCTTCACGATGTGTGGAATTAAGCATGTGGAAGTCTAGCCTGGCTTGGTTTCCTTGCTCATCATAGTGTTATTTTTGGGTTGCTAGAGACAAAAGATCCCATTGGGTACACAGGTGGGGAGAAGAAACACAATTAGAGGATTCATGACTGACCAAGGGTTCCTAGCTGCTCTGATTCATTTATCCAGCTAGCCAATACTGATGGAGCACTAACTCAATCATGTGTCAATGTGTCACTCATTTTTTTTTGGTGGTACTGGGGTTTGAACTCAGGGCTTTGCACTTGCAAGGCAGGTGCTCTCACTTGAGCCACACCCCCAGCCCCTGTGTCACTCTTAATGTTCTGTTAAAATGACAGAGAGGGCCCTTCCCAGGAACCTCATTTCCTAAGCTTCCCTTTTTACCCCACTCCTTGGACTCCCACCATCTCCCACCACCCCAGAAAGAGCCAGATGCCACCTGCCCAAGTCTGTCTAGAAGCAGCCTACCCTGTGGTCATTGGTTTACCAGCCTGTTATCAGGGAGTCAAGTGTATGTTTAATAAATGTAGGTCCTGAGCTACAGGACGATCCTCCCAGAACCTAAGAGTATGATCTGCATGACAGAGTTGCCAGGCAAATGAGGGGCAGGGAGGAAAAGAAAATGCTTACTGTGACAGGCAGAAAAATCTCCCTCTTCTCTCTCCAAAATATTTCTATCCTGATCTCTGAAATCTGTGAACATGTTAGGTGACATGACAAAGGGAATTAAAGCTGTGGATGGGATTAAGGTTACTAAGCAGCTGACTTTCAAGTGACAAAATTAGCCTGGATGGAGAGGCAATGTAATCACAAAGGTCCTTAAGCATGGAGGGAGAAATCAAAAGACAGGACCACAGACAGGGCGGCCTGAGAAGGATTCAGCTTGATGCTACTGGCTTTAAAGATGGGCGGGGGGTGGGGGGGAGAGGAGGGCTGGTGCCAGTGGTTCAAGGCTGTAATCCTAGCTGTTTGGAAGGCAGAGATCAGGGGATCATAGTTCAAGACCAGTCCAGATAAAAAGTTTGTGAAACCCCATCTCAACAGAAAAAAGCTGGGCATGGTGGTATGTGCCTGTCATCCCAGTGATGGCAAGAAGTATAAAATAGGATCAAGGTCATGGCTGGCCTGGGGGGAGGGGGGACAGAAGCAAGACCCTATCTCCAAAATAATCAGAGCAAAAAAAGCTGCAGGTACGGTTCAAGTGGTATAGTGCCTGGCAGCAGGCATGAAGTCCTGAGTTCAAATCTCAGTAGAAGATGGTGAAGTGGGAATGCAAAAGAGTGATGGTGGATCCTGAGGTTGGAAAAGGCACACAAACAGATTCTCTGGAGAGTATGCAGAAAGGAACACCACCCAGTGAGATGGGTCAGGCTCCTGCTTTACTGAACTGCAAGATAAGAAATTTATCAGTGTTTTAAGCTATTATGCAACTTGTATAGCAGCCATCCAGAACTAGTATAGTAAGCCTGGCGAGTAAAGCATTAATTTTTACCTTTTTTTCATTTACTCTTTATCTATTTCAGAAATGCCTAAGTAACCACAATAATACCTGTGGACTGAAGACTAGGATCCAGGCACCACGCTCAGTACTTTATGTGCATTTTCTCAGTAGCATTGGGCCTGGGCATGGTTGCCTGGCATATTGTAGATGCACTACAGATGAGGGTCGAATGTACAGACAGACGACCAATGGCCAGGAAAACAGGCACTCTTCATGAAAGCCAAAATAGAACAGATGGGACAAATGTCCCTTAAAAACAAAACCAAGTGGCCATTCTGCTTGGGGAAGCCAATGGTTGCATCTGTCCGTCTCATCACTGGCTCCCTAAGGTATCCACAGGGCTTAGTCCAGACCCCCAGCATCCAGTAGATCCCAAGCCTCCCACACCGTCACACCCCCCTTCCCCCACCCCAAGCTCTGGACAGCATACGTGCTTTCGGAAGAGCTCCACATGAGGCCCCAAGGCCTGAGGATCAGCGTCTTTCACGAACCAGACCACATCCTCTACTGTCCAGGTGGACGGGTTTCTGCTCCGTGGCCGCCTGGCCTCCTGTCTGTCTGGAGAAGGGCTTGAGGCTGGATGGGATGAGAAGAGGAGGGAAACTGTAAGCCAGTGGGGCTAGGCCTCAGTGCCACCTGGTGCTCTCTGCCCCCATATGGCCTGGGAGGGGTTCTCAGTGCTCTGGAGTCCAAGGTGGGAACACGTGAGCTCCTGTGACAGGGAAGGTCTGTGAGTGGCTGCCTTGTCAAGAGCAGGGACCATGAGAAGGCAGCACTCCTCACCCTGCATCTGTGCAGAAGCCCTCTACTCTCCCAGGGATGGAGACATTGGAAAATCTGCTTCCTCCAAAGGGCTGAAATTCCAACTCAAGTTAGAGTTTTCAAAACCCCTCAGCTGCGTTCTCCCTAGGTGGCTTAGGTACTCTCCTGGGACTAGGTATTTGGTGACCAGGGCAAATGAGCCAAGATGAATGGCCAAAGGGGCCTCTGCAGGACTGGGAAGCCAAATGACATCAGGCCCTTTCTGCCTCTTCTGGCTTCACAATGAGATAATGAATCCTGGTCTCTGCAGAATGGTTAATCTACCACCTCATCCTCAGAAGCTCTGACTCTGTGTCCATCCCCTGTCTTTTGGGTGGAAAGACAATGTCACCTCACTTCCTGCCCAGGTACAAACTGAGCGCCTTCACAGACCTCTAAAGCTGTCAGAACATTCGCTCCTTTCTTCCCCACTGCCCTGTGAATTCCTCCACAGCCAAAGGCCCACCCCTGTGCCTGGCCCATGGCTGGTCCTTGGTAAATGGCTACATAAATGCCCTTTCCCATACAGCAATGTAATGGTCAGGACAGACAAAGGAGGATTACAAATTAGATGGGGTTGGCTTTGCAGGGAGGTGGGGAGCAGTACTGGGATTTGAACTCAGGGCCTGTGCTTGCTGGGCAAGTGCTCTACCACTTGAGCCACACCCCAGTCCTTTTTGCTTTAGCTTGTTTTCCAGGTAGGGTCTCATAATTTTGCCTGGTTGGCTTTAAGCCTTGATCCTCCTATCTCTACCTCCCAAATAGCTGGAAGTATAGATGTGTGCCACCATGCCTGGACCAGGGGTTGACTTTTTTTGTGTGCATGTCCCAAACCAACTCATACTCTTTCCTTTGAGCCAGCTTCTACTTCTATAGTCCCCATTTCTACCTCCTCCCTCTTCTTTGCTCCTTGCATCGAATTCTTCTGCAGCTCTTGGGAGGATGCCTTTCCTGCTGGCCTCCTCCTGCCCATCCCTACTGAGCCTTGTTAAGAACCTCCTACCCACTCCTGCAATGATTTTGCCAGGGGTCTCCTTGACACTGCTCTTTTCTCCCTAGTGCATATGACTGCCACTGCCTTACCCTGTCCCTGAGACCCCAGCTAGGTCTGTACACATTCCACTCAAACTCCCCTTGAGTACCCCCCTTGCCCATGCATTGTACCTCATGGTTAAGGGCTGTCTTTGGTCTCAACATGCCTTTCTCTCCTAAAAGGAGGCAAAGAAGAGCTTTGGTGGCAGAGAGACCTGTATGTCCATCCTGGAGCTACCCTCTGTTAGTAATTTGACCATGTCTCATCTCATCAGGTATAAAGTGACAGTCCTCTCTAGCCAGAGGGGCAGGTATGAAAACTAAAATGTGTTAATGCAGGTGCATTAACAGGTGTGTCTGTTGTCAGGCACTCCGCAAGGTGGAAAGAGGCTCCCTCCACCTTCCCTGCTGTCTGCCCAGTCATCATGGTCAATATTCCCTCAGCTTCCCTTTTCCACTCTCAGCTGCTCTGCCCTCTCTCTGGGAGGCATTTGCCTCCCTCCTTCCCTCGGACATCCCACCAGCCATCAAAGCCCAGGGAATGCCCAATGCCTCATGAGCATCTGTTGTCTTCTTGCTGTCTGAACATCTTCTGCTTTCCCCTTTCACCTCAGACCTTTACTTGTTCTTCTCCTGGGATGTTATCTGAATTCTGCTTGATAGTACAATTACTTACATACTATTTTGTAACCTCCAGTTAGATTTTAATTTCCCAAGGATCCCTCTGTTCATTCCGCAAACATGTACTGAGTTCCTTCTCTCTGCCAGGTCCTGGGTGAAATGTTCGGTGAGCGATTAACGTGATGCTCTCATTACAGGTGTCATACATATGGTGACCCCTCCCCGACTCTACAGATAGTAAATATACTTGAAATATGGGTTGATAATTGTGAAATGAATCGATAAGCTTTGCACACATTTTCTAGGTTATTTACACAGTGTAGGCTAGCAAAAGGTCGAGGCTTTGAGAAAGGAAGCAGCTTTCCTACAGAACAATTCAAAGCTAGAAGTGGAGAAGCCCGTGCTTATTTTGATTCTTTCATCTCGAGGCAAAGTGGCCTCTGCTGTCTCTTTTTCCCTCTTCCTTGCAATGTGCCTGAGAAGTGCCAGTGCATCCATTAGGGCTCAGAAAAACAGCATTGCATTTCTGAGTCTGTCCTAAATACATAATGACTTGGTTGAGAATTGGATTTGCTTTGAGAGTTTTCCTGCTTTTTCCTTGTTAAACCTGGAAGGGTCCCATAAGGTGGTTTGGCCCGGGGCATCTTGCTGGGAAACTGTTAATGCACCCCAGAGCCACCTAAATGCTGATGCCAGCTTGTTCAAGATGACTTCACTCCACTTAAAGACATCTGCACTCAACATGGAGAGGAGGAATCACAGAAGTCGCATTTGCCTTTGATCCTGCCCATCAGCGCACAGGCACCAATCAAGGTGGTAACAGACGCTCTGCCTACAAAGCAGGATGTCTTTAGTCCAAGAGTGACTTTAGAGTGATGAGAGCAGAGGTCAAATCTAATTTCCTGTATTTGAAAGGATGGGAAAAAACCCAGACCAATGAATAGGCTCCTCCCTAGGTCCTAGAGCTCTTTGAGTGAGACCATGGTGTTGCTTTCCTACCAGCCACAGCTGCCCCAGACCCAGCAGAGGGGCTGTTCTGTCTTTAAGAAGGAGGCTCTCAGGCCAGGTGCTGGTGGCTCATGCCTGTAATCCTAGCTACTAAGGAGGCAGAGATCAGGAGGATCGCAGTTCAAAGCCAGCCCGGGCAAGTTTGCGAGACCCTATCTCAAAAAAACCCTTCACAAAAAAGGGCTTGTGGAGTGGCTTGAGGTGAGGGCTCTGAGTTCAAGCATCAGTACCACAAAAATAAATAAATAAATAACAAATTTATCACAGTTCTCTGGTGATGGCTGTGGAGGGCAAGTGACAATGTAGTTAGGCAAGTGGGCCTGGTGCTCACTGTGAGCATTGCCCACTTTTGCAGGATGGAGCAGCAGCAGCCAGGCTAGCTTCAGAGTGTTTCTGAGGGGACTTTTAAGACAGAGAGCAGCAGGAAGCCTAAGTCACACCCTGGGAGTTTTCCTGATCCAAAGCACATAAACTTGCTCTAGAAGGAAGAAAAATGGAATTCTTTAGCAGCAGGTCTGCAATGACTGTGCTCTGTGCTCTCAAAGAAAATAAATGCACCACCACACCCCCCTCCAGCAGCTACAAAGGTGTCAGGAAGACAGATGGGTCCAGCCTGTCACAGCCAGGGCAGGCAGATGTGAGAGGTCAACAGTAAGCCATGATGGATTGGACAAATCTCACCCCTGCGTGGACAGAACATGCAAAACAGTCCACCCACCTCCACCTCCACCCAGTGCCTTATGAGACAGTCTCATTCTGCGCTTGGTCATGTCCCTCCCTGGGGTGGTGGAGATGTGAACAGTGAAACGCAGTGCTGAATGGATGTATAATTAAATCTTGTTCCTAAAGCCAAACTCACAGCAGATATAGAATAGCTGGGAATCAGCATGGAGTGAACCCCTTCTGCAGAACAGGTACTTGTACCATGTCTGTGAATCTCTCTGTATTACAAATTCTCACGAGCACACACATAATTGCCTTTTGCTCATTCATAATGCAGGGGAAACTTTAGCTAACAATGGAGTCGTGTGGAGAGTGGAGTGAGAGATGAACTGGGGGTCAGAGATCCCAGCCGTGTGTCCTCTCTGTGCTGCTCCTGGTGCAAGAAGTGTTTGGCAGGATCTCTGCAGTCCCTCTTGCCCACGTGGCCCTTGGCACACAGCTGCTAACAGAGGGCGTTAACTCTCGTACCGCTGAAGGCCTCTGTAAAATTCACCTCTGTGAAGAGCCACAGCCAGGCTTCTAGTACCTTCCTGGCTCCCATCATTCTTTGTGGGCTTCAGTTTCCTTATCTATACATTGTGAAAATCATTTGTTGTCTCTCAAGAGTATTTTATCCATCACGAATTGAGTGACTGTGAGGTTCAAGGTTGAGGCTGGCAAGAAGCCCACTGAAGGAGGCCATTGTCTCTGACAGGGCCCTCTGTACCCTTCCTCAGGCTGCTGCACCACCCCCCCTCCCCCGCCAGCTCTCTCTGGCTCTCTGGCAGCTGGAGCTGGTGAAGGGGGTGGTAGATCTGTCCTCAGCATCTTTAAGTTACCTGGTCTCTGTAAAGTACATCCTTCCTGGAAACAAGGCCATGCAAAGTGGCCTTTGAAATAGTGTTGCTTTTCACTATTTCTGTTCTAGAGCTTCCAAGACAGTATGAGGTGAGAGAGACAGGAGAGAAGAAAGCTTGGCTGGTTCTTAGATTTTAATTGGGTTTTCTTTTAATCCTTTAAGACCAGCTCCCTGGCCAGTGTGAGACAGAAATGCTCTAGAGCTAAGGAGAGACCATGGACTTGAAGGCAGGCCAAGTGTGGCAGCAGACACCGTGATCCCCTGGCAAGCAATGTGACCTCTGCTGGAGCCTCTAGCTACCCCTTCTCCCTCTGCCCCTCCCCAGCCAGCATCTTCAAGTCCCTGCTGCCCATTTCAACAGGCTCCACTGTCACTTCTCTGGGAAGCCTTTTGTGACTCCCCAGTGGGGGACTCAGCAACCCACTATCCATCTGATACATGGCTACCACACTGGTCACCCTCAGCACTAATCCAAGTTGTGACAAAATTCATGCAATAATTTGCTAATGTCTGTTTGTCTGGAATTGCCCACTCTAAGAACAGGGCCCATGTT